AATGAAATCTCTTATTATTTAAGCAACATTAAATTGGTGTTTCTTTTACAACTAAAATAATCATGTCACTATACATAAATATTTTTAAACATGTGCATTGCTAGATATTTACAAAAATTACTGACGAAATGATAACTTCAAGCTTATGAAGGATTTTAGTTATTTTATATATTTCTTAAGAATACAGTCTTAAGACTTTTAATTATTTCAAGTCTAGTTTTACACTTTTGGGTAAAATGATAGATTATATACCTATGTTTATAGATATGTAAGTAAAGATATAAAGATATTACTTTTCCTTCTTTTATTACTTTAATTCTTAAACCTGTTTATAGAGGAAAAGATAGAGTGCTTAATCTCCCAAATTCCTACTGTTATCAGAATTCTGTACTACAGTGAAGTTTATCTCAGTGAACATATTAAAAAAACAAAACACACTATCTACATATGACAGGGATTTAAAAAACGATTTTTCTCACAATTCAAAATCACTATCACACACACATATCAATAAGGAAGTTTTGTTTCAAAATAAACACTGCCTGACCTTGTGGCTCAGGGCTTGAGCATTGACCTATGAGCCAGAAGGTCATGTTTTGATTCCAGATCAGGGCGAATGCCTGCGTTGTGGGCTAGATCCCCAGGAGGCAGCTAATCAATGATTCTCGTCTTTGATGTTTCTACCCCTCTCCTCTCCTTTTCTCTCTGAAATCAATAAAAATATATTTTTAAAAAAGGTAATTACTATTTGGTCTTTTCACTAATGTCTTTTCATGAAACTGACCAAAGCTAAATCTTAAGCAGCAAAGTTTTTTTCCCTATTGCACTGAGAATCTGCAAATAATGGCTTTGTTTTCAAGAGATTGTAGAAATAAATTTTGGCCTTTTACATATTAGGTTTTAATACTTAATTCTGCTTAGCATATATTTATGAACAATAATATACTTGATAAAATAATTAGAAAAGTTAATCCAGGCACTAGTGGGAAAATATTCATTTTCTTATAAAAATGGAGAAAATTTTTAACAAATGTAAAAACAAGAATGCCAAGTTCTATTTCAGACCCCCAAGGAAATAAAGTGCTAAAATTAGAATGCAAAAGCAACTCTTATTCATTAGAGAATAATGTGGTTAGATATCATTCTTTTTCAAAATGCATGAACTGTTGAATAATTGAGTATAGTCGGCCATGTAGAATTAATCTCCATACAAAAACAGGAAAAAGATCTGAAAGAAATCTGTAGCAAAGTGAAGAAAATCACAATATTCACTGTAAATACAAATGTTTTATAGAACTAAAATGTAATATTTCCTAAATTAGAGAAGAATATCTAATCTGTGCTGTGTTTAGCTGTATAGATATATAACACTCTTGTTTTAATCCATATATATGGCTGATTTAAACTATAAATATATAGATATAAAATTATTGTTATAAATATATATTTATACATAAAACTATACTTTAAAATCTTTACTACTGCTAGCCAATGTTACATTAGATGTGTAGATCATTAGTGTTCTTAGGTGTACTTCCTCAATGGCCACACTGAGCATTTAAAAGATTAAACATGTCAAAAGATTTAGAAGAAACAAATGAGAATGTTGAAGCTCTGGTATACCAAATCACTCTTTTCTTCATCTTTGGTGGGCATCACAGAGGTCAAAATGAATCTACAATAAACTACTGTATCTAAGAAGTAACCTCTATCATCTTTACCAATCAGTATCAGATGTTAATAGGACACAAATACAATTTTACATTTAAATAAATGATAAACTTTACAAATATATGAAGAACAATATGACTTTAGTAGTTTACTATTTTAATTTAGCTTATTGCTAAAAAGATTTTTACCATTTACATTCATCTGAATATTTGTTTTTTTCTAATCATAATTTTTCCTAAATGTTAACTCAGTATTAATAACTAGTTTTAAATAAACCCAAACTCAGTCTCTTTCTTTGATATTAAAAAAAGACAATTAAAGCAATAAAAATCTCTCCTTAGGCAAGAGAGACAGCAAATTAAATATTTGTTTTTAGGTAGTATGAACAAAAACAGTAAATTGCATTTTGACTCATTATTGCCACTGATTTCCATAAAGCCACAAGCTTTCCACTGTCAGTTTTGACTGATTTTGATCTCATTCAATAATATTTCCCATTTTTGCCTTTGTTTTTTAAAATATATTGAGGTAACATTGGTTAATAAAATTATATAGGTTTCAAATGTAAAATTCTATAATAACATAATCTGTATACTTCATTGTGTTTATCATCAGCCAAAGTCAAAGCTTCCCATTTTTTTTGCCTTTGTTTTAATTCATAGTAATTTTGTCAATTTGGTACATAAGTCATATTTCTAAAAAAAAAAAAAAAAAAAAAAAAAAAAAAAAGTAAAATAATAGCTAAAAAGATCAAATAAATTAACAGGAATGAGTAAATTAACTATCAATAAGCTTGATTTGACATACCTTATAGTTAATCAATTAAATTCTATCGTTATTAGATCACTAGAGGTGCATGAAATTCATGCACTGGGGAAGGGTCCCTCAGCCCCGCCTGCCCCCTCTCACATAGTGGGAGCCCTCAGGGGATATCTTACTGATGGCTTAGGTCCACTGAGCAGACGAAGCCACAGTCTAGCCTCCCTTTGCAGGAGGCGACCAGGCTGATCAGGGGAAGGCGCCAGCCCCATCACCCCGCTGCTGCAGCCACTGCCAGCCACCACAGCCACCAAGGTATTTTCATCAACATGGACTCCGGTCCCTTCACCATGAAAAAATGACAACTTTCTTTAAGCATTTTCAAGATGTGTCTTTCATAGAATAGGACATTTCCTTATTTTTCTTTTTATCCTATCCTGAGGATATGTTTCCATTGATTATTTTCCCCCATTCCCTCCGATCCCAGGCTCGGACCCAGGCTTTGAACTTAGGAAGGTGTACCCCCGCCCCCACACCTCCGATTGCAGGCTCAGCCCCTTCCCAAACCTAAAGCCCTGCCGGCTGGCCAGCTGAGAGTGACCTGGTTGCTGAGGAGGTTTCTGGGACCCAGGTATGTATGCAAATTAACTACCATCTTTGTTGGGTTAATTTGCATACTCACTCTGATTGGCTGTGGGTGTAGCAGAAGTACAGTCAATTTACATGTTTCTCCAATACTAGGTAAGATTTGTAGCAGTCTATTTTCTAATGTAAATATCCTAATTTTCTAAATAAAAAAAGTATTGATATAATCAGTTTATGAAGCCTCTCAGTATCATAAAACTTAAATAAATGATAATTAGATTTGAGAGACATGGAAGAAGCAGCCACTGACTTCATAGAGGGTTATTTCATGAAATTTAACCTTAATGTGATCACCTTTCAAAAGTTGTAAACTGATTTGATTTCAAAGTTACAAACTGAGCTGCATTTCACAACCATAGATACACACACACACACACACACACACACACACATAATATTTGCAAATCTTTGGTTTTTGTAGACATATTAGACAAAGTCTGATGAATTCAGTAGCACACTTCTGAAACTATAAGGAAATAACTGATGTTGCTAACTCATAAACAAATTCTGAAGAAGATTTCAAAAGGGAGTTTTAAAAAATTATTTGAGTAATAGCAACATAATTGGATTTCATTTATCACCTCTAAAGGTTATTCATTTGGAGGCACAGTATCTTTTGTGGCAGCTTCAAAAACTATGAATCTCATTAGTTTGTAATTAGATATTAGGATAGAACCTAGTTTGAAGGAATTTCTTGTATAGTTCATAAATGTGTTTTTACACACAATGAAATAAGAAGTTTAAATACCTGAACATGATATTCAATTAAGATAAAAGAAGCTTTGGCTAGTTACAGGTGTTAGGTGAAACTGCCCTAGTAAATTAGTTACTACAAAAAAAATGTTCCTTTGGCTAATGCAACCCAGCAGAACATTCAAAGCAGAGGATTTCTCCATGAGGAGAAATGCAGATGTGATGTATTAGGTACCTTCTCTACAAATCTACACACACAAAAAAAGCACTTGTTTTTGCAATGGCAATTTAGAGGTTCAAATGAGAAGAATAAGGCATGTTTGAAAAAAACAGCTCAAGACCGAATGAAGCATGAAAATATTCTAAACAGAATCATTGTTTTAATGATGTTCCATGCCTCTCTATCATTTTTATTCTTCATGATACTCAGTTCTCACTTCAGCCTGTCCTTATTAAATAGATGATTTTCTGAATAAGAAACAGTTATGATCCCGTAAGTTATACAAAATTTTGTTTTTTAAATAAAGTGAGTATTTAAGGCAACAACATAATTTTTATCCTTAAACTTAAATGAATATAATGTTCAATGTTGGTTATATATTTTATAATGCAGTATTCTATATAGAATGTCACAGTTTTGAAAGTATATTTTATCATTTTACTTTATCCTCCCATTTTATTATTTTTTCTGTATGTTATTATTTTAATTTTTTTCTCCTCATTTTATTGTTTTAGACATTTTTTAACCTTATTTTTTAATTGATTTCAGAGAGGAAGGGAAATGGAAAGAAAGACAGAAATATCAATGATGAGATAAACTCATTTATTGGCTGCCTCCTGCAGGCCCCACACTGGGGATTGTGCCTACAACCTGGGCATATGCCCTGACCAGGAATAAAACCATGACCTCCTGGTTCAAAGGTCGACATTCAACCACTGAGTAACACTGGTTGGGCTTATTGTTTTAGGCATTTAATTGAGTGAATTTCCTTTATTCTTTAATATTAATGTGACATTTTGTATTATTTTTTCCCCTCTGTTCTTTTCTTTTTTTATTTATAACTCCAACATCATTGAGTCTGGAATAGAAGGTCCAATAAAATATGAAATAAATAAGTAAACCTATACCAGTTTTCTGGTTGAAAATTTAGGACATGCACTTCAAAGGATTGTGTCTTCATTTTAATAGCATTAAGTTAAATAAGAAAATCTTTACAGAATAGTAACTTTACCTGCTGAAGTTGGCTCTTCCTCCTCTGAGACTATAGTGGTGGGGGCAGGGGGAGAGAGAGAGAGACAGAAAAAGAGATTGAGATTTCATTTTTCTAAACAATGACCACAAGCTCTTAGCTTAATATTCAGTGTATATATAAGATATCTGTCATTAGATATTTAGGTAATGACAGATTAATGGGTATTTACATTAAGTTAACATTTATATACAGTACTCATATTTAAAAATACGTATGTATATATTGGAAAAGACCATTCAGATGTATGAATTTGATTTTTCTTTCCTTTTGCAAATAAGATTGACCATATTTAGAGTATAATTATTATAAATAATATTGTTTACCATATGTTACATATATCATGAAAATACCCTACTATCAACCACTTGTTGGAACTTTTTATTAGCAAAAAATAATTAAATTGTTCCATAAGGTAGAAATTATAAATAGGATAAAAATTATTAAACCTTAAAAGTGAGAATCACTTTGGCTGTTGGTTAAGCAGAAATATTCTAGTTCTCCCCGGGGCCCCTGTCACACAAATATACACACCACACACACAACACACTCACTCACGTCTACCAGATATTTCAGGATTCAGTAGTAGTGACTCTTTGCTGAGGCCACAGGAACCTTCATTATAAACTCTTACCCCATGTGCTTTTGACACAAGAATTCTACAGCCCACAGTAGCAGATAACCATGGGTATTATGATAGGAGAGACCACAAGATGAGAATACAAGTTGATGTTAAAGCTGTACTTCTCAGCCCCGAATCTGTATTAGAATGCCAACTCTGGGTCCCATCTCAAGCCAGTTAAGTCAGAATCTCTTTCAGCAGCACCAACTTCTAACAAGGATTGAGACATGACTAAGTAACATCCATACAAAGTAACATAAACTATAAATCAAAGTGTGAATTATTCTGATTCCTGTTTGTAAAGGGAGATGTTTCCGAGAGCAACAGGACTCCAGGGTAATGATCTATGGCTGGGTGCATGCAGGGGTGGAGCATGGTGATTACAATAGTGAAAAGAGGATTTATCTGAAGTAGCTTTACCATTTTTTTCTAGAATCCGCCCTGCCGCCTTTATCCTAATAGACACTCTGTGAGTAGGTATTTCTGCTCCGTGCACAAGTGCAGCTTACCCCGAATATTTCTGTTGAAATATGTGACACAAGCCAGCACTATTTCATTTGATTCATGAAGTTTTAAAATGAAAAAATTTACTCAGCTGAATTGCTTATAAAAGGAGCTTTGTTCCCAGGTGATTCCTTAATCAAGACATCCCTGTGCAACCTGGGAGCACTCTCCACGCTTTCCCGTTAAGGGTGCGTCCACACTAGACAAGCTCACTTTGTGTCCTGACAGTGTTTTCCTCTCATGCTGCTTGGCTCGTCTCGTTGGCATGTAGAGAAATGAAAAGAGCAAGCACAGTTGGCATGCGTGGCGTGGAGAACATAAATATTTAAAAAGCTGTAAGCTTCTTTATCGTGTCCAAAATATATCATACCATGTTCAAAGAGGAAAATTATTGGTAACTTCCAGGAATTCCTTTTTTTTAAGAAAGACCATAGGAGTTTGTGGAAGTCCTGACTTAGATGGGTCATTGTCAGTAAGAAGCTGGAGATTCAGAAAAAAAAAAAAAAAAAAAAAGCGGGGGGGGGGGGAGGGGGAAGAGGAGGAACACTTATGACTAATCACTTTATGTGCGGAACTCAATTTATAAAGCAATCGATGAGATGAAAATTACTCTTATTTGAAAGATGAAGATAATGATGTCAGAGTGACTGGGCAATTTGGCTAAGGTCAATTGCGTTTGAGCTCATGTCAGTGTGACTTTAAAACCAAGCTCTTTCCACTTTGCCTTCGTGTCTCAAAAAGTGCTGATTCCATATCCACTGAGAAAAAGTGAAGAAAGCAGAAATGGTCATGAAACCAGGACTGACTAGAGCTCTGATGATGTTAGTCGAACATGGGGGAAAACACACACACACACACACACACACACACACACACACACACACACACACATAAAACACCTGGATATAGGGGCTGAGAGAGAAAACCCCTTGAAAAATAAAGCTCCCCCTGGGAAACTTCAAGTCCCCAGCCATCCAGGGCTAGATATAGGAAGGTGAAATCATGAAGATGGAGTTAAATAAAATATCTTAAATATGTGATGCCTAAGAAAGATTAAGTCTAAGTTTTATTCCTTAAACCATTTATGGATATACAAGGAATTTTAGGAAAAAATTAGCAAGCGAAGAAGTAAACATAGTTTCAATTTTATAGGAGTCCTGGCAATTAGAAATTTCTTAAAACTAAAGCTCCTGGGACAAGTAGTGTACTAACCTACACTTGAAGTCAGTAATACCTGACAGCTTCTTTTTAACAAATTAACACATTAGAGGCAACAGGTACACAAGTCTGCATAAAACTGTAATCTATACATCATCTCCATGGTTTTGGTTCCTTATAATATGAGATGTCAGTGGCCAATATTTATACTACTATAATACATGTGTGTGAGTGCTCACATACAAACACACACTCACCAAAGCACACAGAAAAGTTAGCATTGGTATTAATTCACTGCTTTCATTACCTCTGACAAAGATGGCTTTGTAGGCTAACTGAATTAACGACCAAAGTGTCATGAACTGTTAACAGATGGCAGCTAGATCCCCAGAAATACATGTAAGCCTCAAAATGGACACAAGAAGCCTATTTGGTGATATTTAAGTGAAATAAGTGTCACAAAAGGTATAAAAGTCTGTTTCATATGCAAGTTACTCTAATCCTAGAAACTGGAAATAATTGCACCAAGCAGAATGAATATAAACTAGCAAATGATTCTGTATTGCTCAGCCTGGTCCCAATGCAGAAGGATTAATAAAAATTATGGTGATAAAAAAGGAATATATATATTCCTGGAGCCGTCTTTCCATTCTGGCCAGGAGCCCTGGAGCCCCAGAGGTTGGCACCTGCATAAGCAAATTAACCCACAATCTTTGTTGGGTTAGTTTGCATACTCACTCCTGATTGGCTGATGGGCATCGCAAAGGTATAGTAAATTAGCATGTTACTCTTTTATTAGTGTAGATATATGATATACAGAATTTAGCTAAGTGTGGTCCTGTCATTGCCCATGGAGAATAACCCTGGGTGTTTGTTAAAATGCCCCAGATCCATTAAATTTTGGGTGTCAGCCCAGGTAGTTCAGCAGGTGACTGCTAGAAACACTAAATGTTCAGAATTATGGCTCTTACCCATCCAACTTTGTTGTAATGGGAAAGAACCATGGTGCACTTGTTGGAACCGTAGGAGTAAACTACCAGGTTTACAGGAAATCCCTTGCAATGTGCACTGTGATGGCTTCACCAGTTTTCAATGCTTTTTCCCATAGAATATCTTCAGGTCTACATCAATCCTTGGGGAAAGATGATTCCTCTTTTGAATTCAAGAGGAAGTGAATCTTCCCCCTATTCTGACCAGTTACTGGTGTAGGTAGGAATATGATCCACTGGAGACAAGAATGTGTAAGAACAGGTTTGTGTGGCTTGGGTGAGGACAGGCTTTCAGAAAGGAGGGCTCCTTGTGTTTCTGAGAAAGTGATTGGGAATAACCTTCTTTCTTTCTTCTGTAGACATGGATAAAGAAGTCCGTGGCACTGGAGGTAAGTTGGCAGGCATCTTGCAACCACAATGGATGCCACCTTTCAGGAAAAGCCAGTCCTACCCAAAGGCAGAGTAAAGAAACAGAAAGCAATTAGAAAATTGATGGTATTGTTTGAGCCACTGACTCTGGACTGGAGTTCTACTCTTCACTGTTTATCTAGTCTGAGTGGAGCTTTCTCTTATTTGCAACTAAATAACATTCTGCTACAATCATAAATACTTTTGTTGTTCCCGTTTGAAATATATTAGAATGCATAAGGAATAAATTATCTTGAGGTAGGGGAGACCCAAATACAAACAGGCTTGGGCTGCGCTTTCACCTTCTTCAGGATTATATTGGTATCTACTAACTTTTCTTCTCCCTTCCCTCACTGCTCCTTTTATTCCTTTCTCTCTTTCTCCTTCTTCCATGATATCAAAGGTCAAGTACCAGAACCACTTAAACCCAATGGGCTGAGTATTATTCTAATACTCGTATGATATTTAAAAACACATCCTTAATAATGGATAGGCTCTATTCTCTTAATGTGGTCTCAACAACTCTTATTTCTTCCATCTTTATTTCATCTTGGTGTTTTAAATAAATTTAATGATTTAGAAATTTCAACAATTCAAAATAATTCTATACCCAATGTGGCTCACCATCAAATAGAATAAGCTCATTATGAAATATATAACATACTAGAGGCCCGATGCCTGAAATTTGTGCAAGGAGGTTGGCCCTCGCAGGCCTGGCTTCATCCAGAAGGTCGTCCAGAATGTCGTCCTGCAGTCCAGTCTAGTAAGCGTGTTATACTTTTATTTTTATAGGTATTTCTTAGCATTAATATCTATTTAATATATGGACATTACTCAATTCTTATTAATTTATGGATCATTTTGTTTGCTATATCATAAATCAAGTTAATTATATACTGAATATGCTTTGAAAGTATACAATTATCTATGTATAATACTTTATTATCTCCATAAGCAAAGCTGCAATAAATAAGTATTTTTGTATTCTGACAATATTTTAGAATGTTTTTATTCAACTGCTGGAATGCAAAAACAACAATGATAATATTTATGCATGATTATTCATGCCTGCCCAGATGTTAAAAGCTATAAATGTATGTGTATTTATTAAGGCAAAGAAGAATACATTATCATTTCAAATTTGTGAATTCAGTCATTTAAGGAGGTTATGCAGTTGCTTCTAGAAGTATTCAAAGAATTATTTAGGGAGAGGTTTTGTTTTATATACTTAACGTCTTATTGTGGTCAAGTCTACACTCTCTGAATTGCAGATTATTTGAAGCAATAGACAATGTTACTTGCATAGAAAATGTTCAGAGAATCATTTAGTC